CCAACTCCTGATATTCTGTGATTCTGTGTCTCAGGGTTTTTTTTTTGTTTGTGTGTTGGAGTCTTGGGTTTTTATGTCACTTTTTTAAGGAACATTATCCATAGTAAACACTTCTTTTAAGGTTTTAATTCCTCCAATGATGTTCTGGTTACACTTCTAGATGCCCACGGTCTTCTGATGATGAACAGAAACATCCAGTGTTGTGTTTATTCTGTGGGGCTATGTTGTGTTCCCAGAATACTTGCTGTCAGGAACTGGTGAATGGGGAGGAGTTGGGAGCCTGTACTTCTCATGCTCTTCAGTGTGGAGCTGGCATCTGTATGTTTCTCAAGTAAGTATGTAGCCACAATTTAATGTATTAAAGAGTAAAGGTAAATATTTGAAGGTCAAAATTGACAACATTGTGTGAGTACTTGATTCTTTCTGTCTCAGATGAAGAAACATTGCTTTGGCCTAGAATATAGCTCATCAAAAAGTTAAGAACCTGCTGGGAGTTGTCTTGTATTTTAAATATAGCTGTTTTTTCCTTAAGAATCAGGCAATGCAAAGTTGTCCTCATTGAAGGTAAAACCAGGGGCTGCTTATATCCTGCTCCCTACTTGGATGAATACGGAGAAACAGATCCAGGTCTGAAGTAAGTAAATGTTTCGCTGACTTTCTGCATTTCCATTCTGGTATCTCCTTCTTTCTTGTACCTGTTCTTCCTGCTAGCACGTACAGCACCGTCATATGTGTGTGCTCGGTGAACTTGTTTAACTTCCAATTCCTGATGGCAGTTTCCAGCTATGAATGGGCCATTCATAATGGGAAAATACACTTTTTGGGTCCTGCTAAACTTTCTTACTTTTCTCAAGAGTACTTTGTATGCTTTTCATCAGAAATGTGCAACAACTGCCATTGCTGAAATGGCATCTTGGAAATGACAGTCGTTGCTTGTCGCACGTAGAGGTTTTTTCACTTCCAGTAGACTTATTGGAACTGGTGTTTGTAGGAGTATTTAATATTTTCTGGCTATTGCTAAGAGAGTTAATGCTAGACTATGAATGGAACAGATTGTCAGGTGCTATTCTGATATGCTCATTGGGTATTCTCCTTTTCTCCTCTATGAAGGAGAGGCAATCCTCTGCACTTATGTCGGGAGCGTTACCGGAAGCTCCACCTGCTGTGGCAGCAGCACTGCATCGTAGAGGAGATTGCCAGGAGCCAAGAAACGAATCAGATCTTCTTTGGATTCAACTGGCAACTGCTCTGAGTTTCTTGATTTTTAGTGAAAACTTTTATCTGTGGCAGTGCTTTGGAAAAGGAAAGGAGGGTGGCAGTAAATAATCTACTCTCAAGTGGATTCTGTAGTTCAGACACAATTGATGGAGTCTCTAGGTTGGATGTATTACTGGTACATTGAAACAGAATCTCACATCGTATGGTTTGCTCTTTTTTATTATTTTTTTTTTCCTTCAAAAAGGAAAACCACATCATATAATTATTACTGAACGTTTAGGTCCAGAAATACTTCCACTTTTTGAGAAGTTGTAATTTTTTCACATGTTTTGACGAGGACAGCTTCCCGAATGCTGTGCTTCAGAGCACAAACCACATCTCTGTGTTTTCCATACCTTGAGAATATACCTAAATGGTGTCGCTATAGAAAGCCCTCCTTTACTTTCTTCCTGGGTTCTTTTCCCAAGCTTAGTGAAGCTTTTAAATAGGTCAAGATCTGTGGCATAACGTTGGTGTGGAAGTGGTGCCAGGCCCTTTAGTAATCTCTTGCAACAGGTACAGCAAACATTAAGTTGTACAGAAAAAGCTGCATTCAGCTATGTCCTGGGATTTTAATGAAGAGTTTTCATTAATGAACTCTTTAAAAAAGAGGCGTGGGATAGAAAGTGCATGGGGGAATTACCATCCTGCTTGTTGCATCAAAAAATACAGTCTGTGCTTCTTGCATTGCCAGAGCTGCACTTTATCCAATGAATTGGTCCTCTGTTAACGTTGTGTATCCTGAGAGGTCTAGGGCTGCACCATTTGGCTGGGTTGTGGTTCGTTTTATTTCTTTTACAGTTTGTTTTCTGAGATTTTCCCTGAGAACCAAACGTGAAAGTACTGCCAGGTAGTTGTAGTGTCGCTCTGCAAGTTATACAAGAGCCAGAGATTTCAGTAAAGTAGGAAACCTTCCAAGCTATCACTGGACTAAAATCAAGGCCCCAAAGCAGCAAGTTTTAGAATGAGAAATAAGTTTGTTTGCTCATATTTGAGGAATTTTCCCCTCTTCATCCCAAGTCACTGTTGTTTAGAGCCCTGCCTGCATAAATGAAATTGTGTGTTTTGGGGGCACGTTCGGTGGTTCAGTGCCAGTTAGAGCAGAAAAGGGAGAAGAGCGTGGCTAGGTCTGTCTGTGCCCTGAGGCAGTTAATAGCCCACTGTGATTGAACCCTCCGTGATACGTGATTGTGCTTCAGGTCCAAATGTTGTTCTGTTCTCTGCATTTGAACCATAATATATGTGAGGGGATTTGTCGTGTGATGGGTAAAAATGCTTTCCCAGGAAACCCCATTTCTGTACGAAGGATTGAAGTTGTCAGTACTCTGAATTCCCCCACACCTTTTCTTGTCTGGATTCTTTTGTGTCATTTTAAGAAGACTTGCAAAGGGAGGTTTTCGAATCAACGTCTGTGTGTGTGTTTTGGTAAGTTTGGGGGTTTTTTCTGATGAAGAGGTAGTAGAATCACAAAGAATGATTTAGTTTTAAATATCATTGTTCTCCTAGTTTTTAAAAGTTTTTAGAGTACGTACGAGTGCACCGAACAGCACCATAACTCATCTAGAAACAGAGTATCAGTGAACTCAAACATTGCTCTGATTTCAAATACTTTTAATAACTTCTGCTCTAATCTTTCCCTGATGACACAAATAGTTGGCTTTGGTATATTTTTCAGGTATTCTGTTTCTTGCAATTAAGACCGTTCTCCTTATTTTGGTTCTTTCGGTTTTTAAAGACAAACATTAATTCTGTTAATATTCTCGAAGATGTACTCGAAATGCCTACTGAATTTAGAAGAACAGTTGTAATGAAAACCTGCATGCACTGGTGATTTCTAAGGTCATCAAAACGCTTCTTACCAAGAAAAATATTGGATTAAGACACTAAATGTACGCCTCATTGCTACCAAAACTGTATTCACTTACTGTTTCCCTCCGATATTTACCTATTCATTTTTCAAAAACTTTCAGTTACCTTGCACTTCACTGATATAAAAATTCTGTTCCCAAATACGCGGTGAGATCACTTCGTTTTGTTTTCTGTCTGAACTGTAGCATATAGGGACAGGAGCTGCTCTGAGCCCGTGGGCTCACGTTTCAAGCTCTCAAAATCTCTTTGTAGCTGAAGAAGTGGGACGGGAAAGAGGCGTCTTTCTATACGTTTGCACACACTAATTTAGCACATGGGCTCCCATATCGTTCACTGAGTAGCGTGGTCATCTTTCATTTCATGAATTACTATGCAGTTTTGTTCACTGTGAGTATAATCTGTATTTAGTGATCGCAAGACGCTTATGCCACTGGTTTCTGTTCCATCCAAGCTGACAGAAGAAGTTATTTGATAATGCACATATTGGTATCTTTAATTGCAAAAATGTAAATTTGAAACTTGTATAATGTTCTCGTGCTTTTGAAATAAAATATCTTGTATATGTATATTTAAAAAAGGAGGAAATAAAGTAACTTCTCATAGGTTATTCAGTTTTTATTTGGAGGTGCTTTGACGCTTCACAGTTCATTTTACAAGAGCATTATAGCAAGGTCTGTCAGTATGGAGAAGGGGAAGAGTTAGGAAGTCGTTGGTAAACAATTCCAGTTATCCCAGTAGTCCATGTCATCGTGGTACCAGTTAGTCAGGGTGGCACACCTTCTTGTTTAAAGAAATATTCCACTTGAAACTTCACCGAACCACAGAATCCCAGACCGTTAGGGATTGGAAGGGACCTCCAAAGCTCATCCAGTCCAATCCCCCTGCCGGAGCAGGAACACCCAGATGAGGTTACACAGGAAGGCGTCCAGGCGGGTTTTGAATGTCTGCAGAGAAGGAGACTCCACAACCTCTCTGGGCAGCCTGGGCCAGGGCTCTGTCACCCTCACTGAGAAGAAGTTTCTTCTCCAATTGAAGTGGAACCTCCTGTGTTCCAGTTTGTGTCCGTTACCCCTTGTCCTATCATTGTTTGTCACCGAGAAGAGCCTGGCTCCATCCTCGTGACACTCACCCTTTCAATATTTATAAACATGAATGAGGTCTCCCCTCAGTCTCCTCTTCTGCAAACTAAAGAGCCCCAGCTCCCTCAGCCGCTCCTCAGAAGGGAGATGCTCCACTCCCTTGATCATCTTTGTAGCCCTACGCTGGACTCTCTCCAGCAGTTCCTGTCCTTCTTGAACTGAGGGGCAGCTTGTCCTGGTATTTTACGGATGCAAATTCCTGCAGTGCCTACCTCAGTTTGTGGTGATCTGATGCGCCGTGTGATACGTATTTAAAAACAAAGAAGTGGTTTACTACAGAGGTAAGCAAACAAACATTGAAACAGCCACTGCTTCCTGCCCTTCTTTATCTCACAAGGTGCTGGCTGCCCACACTTGCTCGCTGCTTTGTTGTAGCTGCAGGCACCATTAAGGTTACAGAGTTTGAGTGGTAATGGTGTTGCTCTCTATGCTTGTATTCAATAAAGCAAACGGTTTTTAAGAAACCAATTCCTGAAAAGGTAAACGGTGGATGAAGTCTACTAGAACAAAAATTCTGAGGAACATTAGAACAAGAAGCCCATTCATTTGGGGAGAGGAGGGGGACAGAAGAAAAAGCCACAGCGCCCTTCCTTGTATAGTAAGAATCTCAAGGTGCAGTGTACAGACGTTCAAAATAATATGGAGGATTTTTGCCATTATATGACTTGCTTTAGGGTTGAAATCCACTTTATTTTCTAGACAATATCCTTGAATAATCTCAGTTGTAAACTGGTCAGATCTGTGATACGGCTTCTAAATTTGTACTTGGATTGTTTTAAACTATTACTTGACAGGATCTTAAAATTTTCTTCAAAAACGAAAGTGGTTTCATTGTCTGTGGCATGGCCTCTTGTTTTTATGCTTGTTTTGCAGGTAGGCTAAATTTGGGGGTTGGTACAGAAAATAAATGGATAATAATAATAACAGTAATAGTAATCCACTCCTGTATGACTCTCTCAAACCCAGTGATTTCCAATCCCAGCTACATTTCTCTAAGCTTATTCAGTGTGGTTGAAAGCATCTGTGAAAGAAGCTGTGTAAAGAAGTGTGTGCTGAAGGAGAGCAAGCTGAAATTCGGAGGCATTATGTACGTTGTTTCATGTAATGGTGAGAGGAGAGCAGGTATAAAGTTAAACGTGAAACATTAAAACTGGACCTGAGTCATCTTTTCTGTTTCCGTGTGACTATTGTTCATGATATCGGTGTCAGAAGGATGAGTGTAGTTTGTGCCATTTAATTACAGGAGTAAAACAACTTAGAATCCATCAGACTTAACTTTAGGAGGTTTCTAGGCCTCTTGCTTGGTGAATGAGCCCAAATGAAGTGTTGTGAAGCAGGTGGTAAGGGCTGTAATTACAGGAGTAAAACAACTTAGAATCCATCAGACTTAACTTTAGGAGGTTTCTAGGCCTCTTGCTTGGGTGAATGAGCCCCAATGAAGTGTTGTGAAGCAGGTGGCAAGGGCTGTGGATTTTGTGATCGTTTCAAGTCCTTGCTACGGTTGTGAAGGTCTGTGGTTGGTCTTTCTGAGCAGGCAGCAGAACCTTACATCCCCTTCCTCTTCCTGGTGCTGAAATGTAACCTTAGCCTCTTAGGTTACAAGTACTGAGGTACAGTCTAGGGCTTGGCTAGAGGCCGTGCCAATGTACCAGGGTTTCTGCTTGAAGATTATCCCGAACATAACCACGGCAGCCTGAGCAATAATCCACTCCAGATGAGAAAAAGCTTCCAATCTTCCTTCATCCCGTTCTCTCTGTGAATCGTGCTGGCCTTTACTACAAGGGGCAAATTGTGTCTCAATCTCAGATGATCCAGGAACATTTATTTTACTTATTTAAGTGATGGTCTACTCCTAAATAAGGACTCCCCCTGTGTTTCATGAGCTTCACACCTTCATGGTTCTTTGCTGAACTACTGCATGCAGTGCCCAAAATGCGCCCGTAGTGGGAAACTGATACAAAGCACACGTGTGTCAAATGATTTGGAGGAGTTTAAATAACGTTGATCTTGTGTTGTAGAGAACTGTTTGATAGTAAGCAATTTTAAAAGATAAGTTTGCAGAAGGGAGGTTCCTTGCTTCTAAGGAACTGTGCTGCGTTCGGTTATTTTAATACTAGTGAAACAGTGTGCTCTATTTGTATATTTATTATTAATCATTCTTTTTAACAATCACTGTAGAGCAAGTGTTTTCAGTGGCAATCAGAAAGCTTTAAAGGAAGAGCATTGGTAATTGCAGTCTCTACAGGAACTGCCGTAGCACCTTCACCAGAAACTGAACTTTAAGGTGTT